AATCTTTGGTCGGCAATGGGGTAAACCAGACAACCTCTGGGGTGCTCTCCAAGTCTGACTCTATGAAAGCCTGAAGTGGGAGTCACAGGTCCTGAACACAGGACTTTTCTCTGCTCAGTCACCCACTCATGACTTGGGACCTTGGACAGGTCATTTGCTTCCCTGTACCTCATTCACCTTAGAAATTATGAACAATAATTTATCCCCTAGTTCACTGGAATGTTGTGAAGATTAATTTGATGTAATATATAAAGAGCCTAGAGCTTCTTGCAGAAAAGCAAAATAACTAAAATATATTATCATCTGAGTTGCATGAAATATTCCTTTAGGAGGGGAAATTAGTCATATCCCTAGAAGAACATAACATTTTTGCATTTTGTGAGGGTGAATACCAGTAGGAGATTAATTATTTTAATAAGAAGGTTAATAAATTTTAATCTCATTTAATGGTACTTTTAATCATTCTTCTGTCAAAACCTGCAGCTTTACTGTAGTAATCACTTAGATAAAAGACTACTTTTTTTTCCACTGTGTCTACCATGGACCATTTTGTAAACATACATTTTGAGGGAAAGCTTAAATCATCTTGCTCTAGCTAAAACTTGGAAACAGTGTTAAGATACTGTTCCTATTTTAAAATTGTTTATATTTTCTGGTAGTTCAGTTCAGTATTTATAACTATTAAATTATCTCATGATTTCTAATTGCATACCTTTTCCCCACTGGGATGAGTTTGGTGAAAATCATCTCAATTAGGGCTCTGGCTGAATGGTAAGGATAAAAGGCAGGAAGAAAGGGAGGAAGGAAGGCAAGAAAGAAGACAGGGAAGAAGGAAGACAGGAATTAAGGTAGGCAGAAAGGTAGGCAGGAAGGTAGTCAGAAAGGAAGCATTTCTTTAAGCACCTACTATGTGTCAGACACTATGCTAAGCACTTTACTAATACTATCTCATTTGATCCTCACAACAACCTAGGAGGTGGGCACCGTTATGTTCTCCATTTTATAGTAGAGGAAACTGAGGCATATAAAGGTTAAATGACTTGTCCAGGGCCCTATAACACAACCAGATTATAAACTCCTGGAAGTCAATGATCTTACAATTGAATGTATTCCCAATATTTTCCAGTATCTATTAAGGATCAATATTTGTTAACTGATTGATTTCATCTGAGAGATAAAAAAAAATTAATCAGCAAAGGGACAAATACAAATCACTAGGGCACACCACTGGAGACCTCCTGAGATGACACTGAACCATTAAAGACTACTCTTTGGGCGGGTATAACATCACCAGTCCTGAATCCATCTGACTAGACTGTCCAGCCAACATCATTCCACCTTTTCCATATGAATAACAAATAAGAATAGTTTAGGGATCAGAAACTCAGTTCCAAAGTGCAAGGAAAAGGCAAGAAGCCCAGTGAATTTGGAATTGGAATCAGAGGACCTGGTTTTGAATCTCAGCTCTGCTACGTGTGAGATCCTGGACAAGTCACTTCCCTTTTCTCTTAATTTCTTCTTGTCTTAAGTGAGTAGATAGAACTACGTGATCTCCAACACCCAGGAGTATAGTGGAGCTAGCCCCCAACAGCTTATGAGAGTCTATTGCTAAATTTTCAATGAGATCATTATTCCCTAGATATCAGCAAACATGGCAAAACAGAGATTTATTGTTCTTTTGATTTTCTAGGTGTAAGAGATTAATTGAAAATGTTAACAATGCAGATTAAACTTTTAAATGTCTTTCAAGTTTTTGGAGAGTCAGTTGTTAAACACTTATCATCACACTCTTGCCAACATGCCTTCCAGCTATAAAACCTAAGATCCTCAAGTCCTATGTCCAAGGTCACAAAACTAGTTAATGTCAGTCATTGTTGGAGCAGACATCTGTTAAATCCCTTTCCTTCATCATTCTGGACCTGCAGAAACTCTGCTTTTGACAAGCCTGAATGGGATTAGAAAGCTAAAAGGATACAGTCCAAAGCTTGTAAGGGAGAAAATACATTTGAGCCTTGGAATCTATCTCAGCTCCAAATCATGAGGATGGTATTTAAATACTGCCTTTGTTTACTGCCATTCTCAGTGGCTTGACAGGGACAAACTACTGATGATATTTTAATTTCCAAAGCAAACTCATTGCTAAATCAGGCAAGGCATTTGTGCTATATTAAAGGAGATGTGAGCCAGTCTTCCATCATCCCCAGGTCCAATCAACAAAAGAATCAGAGTGCCACCTCAAAAATTCTGCAATAAAAGTGAAGAAATTCAGTTGATTTCCACACTGGAGGAAGCCATGGTCTGGCTTCATAGGAAACACAGCATTTGAACCCAGAAGATTTACTCCTAATTTTGTGAGCTTAGGTTAGTTACTCACTACCTCTCAGTCAGTCAGTCAGTCAGTCGGTCAGTCAATCAGGCAGCCAACAAGAATTTAAGAAGCACTTACTATATTATGTGATAGATACTGTGCTGGAATTAGAAAGGAAGACAGAGAACAGCCCCCTGCTCTATAGGAGCTCCCAGTCTAATGAGGGAGATGGCATGCAAACGAACCACCATGTACATACAGCTATATATAATGTAAGACAGAGGTAAGCTCAGAGGAAATGGGAGGAAAGGAAGGGAAGGAGACCAGGAAAGGCCTCTTGCAGTATGTGGGATTTGAGCTGAGTCTTTAAAGGGAGCCAGGGAAGTCAGGAGTTCCCTCAACAGTACATTAGGGATCAAAACACTTGCACTACCTACCTTACAGTATTGTTCCAAAGATCAAGAAACAGTAGGTGCAAAGGCTTTAGTAAAGCAATGTATGTCAGCCATTATGAACAAAAACCTTGCCTTGGTGGGAACTAGTTCTGCTTTATTTCTTTGCCAGATCATCAAAGCTATTTCCCTAAAGCTGTAATGTCTCACAAGTACTTTCTAACAGGTTTCACAGTTTTGTTTATTATTCGAATCAGACAATTCCACTAAAAACACTATTTCAACAAATGTTAATTCAGTTGATTTTTAATAATCTTTAATATTTTTATCAAATTTAAGGAAAACTTGTATCCCAACTGATTGGCTTCCTAATGTGAACTATATTTACATAAACGTTTTATATACATATACACTTTTTATGGTTATTATAAAGAAATCATTATATAAAATCCGTTATTAGTATTACTAGCAGTAAAATACACTCTTGGAGTATTAGTAATTACTATTATTATTAACAATACTAAATTACCAGTTTCTGTCACCTCCCCCCACTCCCTAGCCCTTTTCTTCTGCAACAGCAAGTCCTGGGCAATAAGCCAACGAACAAACTAGTCACCTAGTCAGTTTCCTAAACTACCAATCTTATCATATACAAGAAAAGCATGACGAGCAATAATATTCCCTCTTTTAAACAAATCTGATAAAGCCACCTTCTTTCTACCATCACATATAGCCTTCTCTACCCAAACTATTAGACCAGTTTTAATTCTATTGTTGCTTAATTAATTATGCACGTTAACATTTAATTACAAATTAGTCATCCTTCTATCATTTCACACTTACCGAACACTTATAAAATGCCATAAATAGCATACAGCAGAGACGAATGTAGTCCCTATACAGAAGGCTGACAATCTAAGTAGTAGTTCCAGTGGGCCAAACAGCAGCAGTGAGATACTGAATCTTTTTTCTAAACAGTACCATACTGCCATGATTAAAAACTCAAGTTGCTGCATTTGTAAAGGCTCAAACCAACCTGAATTTGAAACACACTAACATTTCTCTCTTCCGGCACTACCACAGAGGGGAAAAAAAAAAATCAACCAGAATACTTCCTTAATTCCTAGCATGTAAACACATATCTCTATTACTCTACAAAATGAACGTATTGCAAACTTTTCGCCAATCGGTGCCAATGTTCACAACCATAATATTTTTTTCAACTTTTACACTAGCATTTTATGATGAAGTGCCCTCGGAGTAGAAAGGAAGGTGGGAGCTGGAAGGAGGGAGGGGGGAGATACTGCAGAATATGGGCAGAGACCATTATTTTCTCTAATTTACAAAGACTTTACTTAGGAAGTTCCCCCTCCTATTTCCCCACCCCCATCTCCACTGGCAAGTAGGTGAATGTCTTCTCTCCTCTCTGGCCTGGGAACTAAAAACGCACAAACGTCCCGGGGGGCTGTAAAGCATCTCCTCTAAGAGCCCACGGAGAGAAAAAGAACTCGCTGCGGAGCTGAATGCCACCATTTCAGTGGAACTCCTGCCAACCCTAGAACGGTGGCAGGAAGGGTTAAGGAGGGCGGGGGCCCGAGGGCCGAGGCTCGTGGAGCTGAGCAACAGGGACAGAAGAGGTCCCTCCTGCTGTGGGGTGAATCATCTCCTCTTACCGAAGAATCTGTCTCCAACTTACTGGGTGGGTGTAGAGGAGGGAGAAGGGAGGAAGGAAGGAGGAAAGAGGAGGATGGGGCGGGGATCACACAACCGGTTTCCTTTTTTAAAGTTTCTTGCAGTTCCACATTGACACCGGCGCTTCTGGTGGGACTGAGCACTCCCCCCTGGCGACTTTAAGCCCAAGGTCAAGTTCTCTCGGGGTGGAGAGGGGGGGAAGAAGCCAAGGAAGGGGGAAGTGGAATTCCCGGTAAGGAAGACGGGACGGCGTCTGGGGGCTGGAGGAGGAGGGCGGCGGTGGCGGTGGCGGTGGCGGTGGCGGTGGCGGTGGCGGTGGCCAGGCTAGCCCGTGGGAGTCGGGCGGGCGGGCTGCACCTGGAAGCAGCAGGACCGGGAGAGGGCCCTCCGTGAGCAGCCCGGGAAGGAAGGAAGGGAAGGGACGGGACGGGACAGGACGGCACGGCCAGGAGACTCGGGAGCCGGGCAGCGCTGCCCCGGGAGCGCGGGGCTCCGCGCCTCGCGCGCGCCCTCCCGGGACTCAGGGGCCGGGCAGGAAGCGAGCCCCGGGACCCCGCCTCCTCTCCCCGCTCTCTCTTCGCCACTGCCCCGGGCCGCCCGCTACTTACCCAGGGAGCAGGTAAGAAGCGCAAGCACAGCCGGGACACCGAGCAGGCAGCGAGCAAGCGGCCGCATCCCCGTGCCTGGAGCTGCGCTCTCCTCCAGCCTGCGGAGTCGGAGTCTGCGGGCAGGGGCACTTGGGACTGGAGCCCGAGCTGAGCGGCGGTGGCCGTGGCCGTGGCAGTGGCTGCTGCTACAGCTACAGCTACAGCTACTGCTGCTGCTGCTGCTGCTGCTGCTGAGCCGTCTCCGCCCGCTCGCCGCCTCCTCTCGGCCGAGTCTGGACGCGCCCTCTAGCGGCAGGCAGCGGGATGGCGTCCCCCCAACTCCTGGCCCGAGGCTGGGGGCTGCAGCGGCGGGGCGCCCCAGGACGGGGCGGGAAGGCTGGGGACCCGAGGGCTCACTCCCGCTAGGTCCTTAATCCCTTCTTGCCCCGGCCCTCCTTTCCTCCGCCCGTTCAAAGTCTCCAGGCATCCCAGGCTTCTACTTTTGTCCTCACGTGCGCGCAGCTCTCTCTCCCTCCACACTTTGCCCGGCCCCCCTCTCTCCAGTGCTAACCGAACAGCTCCACTTCTTACCCCGGATGTGGCCGGGGGGCGGGGGAGCGGGGGGTGGTGTGGAGAGAAGGGGAAGGGGGACAGGGAAGAAGGTGGGAGGAGAGAGAATCGCTTCTCCTGCTATAAATCAATAACTCAACTCTCAGTTCTGCTGGCCGCAATGTTCTACGTTGATTAAGGTACTTTTAATCAGCTCAACTAATTTACTTAATCTCTTTCTTATTATCTAATAGTTGGGGGCCTGTAGTTCTGCTTTTTAAATAGAAGAATCTTAAACTATTTTTAAAAATTTAAAATCTTAAACTATTTTATCAGTATTTTTAGTACTGATAATTTTTAATAGGGACAAATTTGCCATTTTCAAAGCACTTTAGAAAGATTGGGTGAATACACTTTTTTTATTTAAAAATTAGAGGCATATATTAGTTAAGTGACTTACTGAAAGCTCATTCTGAAAGTCAGTTAGCAAAACAATAATAATAACTAGCATTTATATAGTGCTTAAGGTTTGTAAAGGGTTTTACAAATATCATTTCATTTGATCCTCACAACAGTCCTGAAAAATAAGTGCTATTATTATCCCTTTTTTATAGATAAGGAAGCTGAGGAAGACAGAGGTTAAGAGTCTGGTCCAGGGTCACACAGGTAGTATCTGAGGCAGGATTTTACCCCTGAGGGCCTTTGGGGATCCCAAGTCCCACTCTCCATATACCAAATTACCAAAACAAAGAAAGGAAACCGTAACCCCAAGATTCAACTTTAACCACATGCTCTATGAAATATTTTGTGAAAGGGAACTGAAGAGGTACCACTTTCAGATATGATTGTACTATTACATTATTGTGCATAATAAACACAATAATACAAACAATGTGATCATAATAAATGGAAAATAGCTATAGGGGAAAACTGTAGGAGCAGGGCTACTGTTCATTCAGCCCCAAGATGCTACTCAGAACTTGATAAAGTCTCTCTCATCTCACTATGTATGCTCTAACAAATAACTCAGTTCTACTGGAGCAAGCAGGTATTTTTCCACTGAGCAGGGAGGAACTTTTTAGTCACTGCCCCTTCAAGACCTGCTACATCTCTGGCCTCAGTGAAGATTGTAAGAACAAAACCTTTTTTTCTGAGGTGGCTACAAATACTGTATTTGTGTGAGGCCTTTCTGAACCTATGCAATCAAGCACCTTCAAATAGGTGGTAGAGGGGAGAAGGAATGTTTGGACTGGGAAGAACAAGTCCCCCACTCAAAATAAGATTCTTTCTACTACTAGAGGGCACTAGTTGAACCTACAATAACTTAGGGTTATAGTCACAGGTTCCATAGTTACTGATTAAATAAATCCAAATTCAGGTTAAAAAAAAAAAAGAACAAATGAATGCAAAACAGGGCTGTTCTCTGCCAAGTCCCTGCCCCTACTATATTTGTAGTTTTGTATAGCTTAATTATTTTTAAATGAAATTTCAACCCCTTTGCCTGGAATTCAAGATCCTAAACAACATAGTGACACACTACTTTTCCAGCCTTATTTCATATTACCTCTATATACTCAACTCTTCAAACAAACTGGATAACTTTCTGCTCTTCATACATGCATCATGCTTTCATGCTTCTGGGTCTTCAGGGTGTTTTATGTGCCTGGAATGGTAGCCTTCTTTCTCTTCATCTAAAGAGATGAAGACATGCTTGACATCCTTGACATCCTTCCTATAAATCCCAACTTATATGCCAACTCTTCCAGAAGCCTTCCCAGAATCCTCCTGTGGGTTAGGTTGTTAACTTTCCCCCTTAGACCTCACAGTCAACACTCACATAGTATAACTCAATCAAATCATGATAGCTACTTATATTGGTGTCTTATTCCTTACTAGACTGGAATTTCCTTGAGGACAGGTGACATCTCTTAAATTTTGTATCTAGAATAGTGCTCCATATACAATAGGCATTTAATAAATCTTTATTATTTGATGTTGATGGATATAAAATTTTCAAACAGAATTAGAAATAAAGATTACTGATTTAATTGAGAAACTTGGCTGTTAGCATTTTTCAGCTATCTAACATTTCAAGTAATCAATTGCCTATTGGTATTAACTAATATTCATGGTAATCGAGTGATAGTATCTACTAGGATATAGAAAAATGGAATTTGAAGACAACTAAAAGAGAGAGCCAAGTTGTTTAAATAATAAACTTATCTTTGTATTCCTTCTTTCTATTTCAGACATAGATAATGGCATGTTACAGAGTTCTATAACTTGGGGGAAAAGACTATTAGCTATCACTAGTACTCTAAGTCATAAGATAAATGGATTTTCTGGGAGTTCTCCCTTCCGTGAACAAGTTTAGAGTGCTTACTGGAATAAAGAATGTTCATTAAGATACACACAGATTCCATGACAAAGAGCTCCATGAGTGCTCTGGTTTTAGCCCTTTTTTTGCTACCTGCACAAAATCAGCCCCATTAATACCAAGGAACATCATACCCCATTTTGAGAATCAAAAGAATTCTTAATTATACCCCTTCACCAGGAGAAGGGTTAAAGGAAAGTGTCAGAAAACTTCTTAACAGTGCTCACTACTCTGAGTCAGGAAACCTGCCTGGTTCCTCACACTACATTGGGATAGTAGGATGAAATTCAATGCAACGCCTATTAAGCATCTACTAATTAACAAGGTACTGCCTGGCAATGAGTATTCAAAGATGAAAAATAATAGTGCCTGACCAAGGTCACACAGCTAGTAAGTGTCTGGTCTGAGACCAGAACTCAGGACCTCCTGACTCCAGGGCCGGTGCGCTATCCACTGCACCACCTAGCTGCCCCAAGGAGTGGATTTTCTAATAAAGAAATCCTTTGAATTGCAAGCTTGCAGTAGATAGTCTATACTGCCCCAAGTTTCTTTTAATTTTTTCCTTTTTAGCACCCTTCCAATATGGTGACAGCCCTGCTGTAAATCTACCACAAGCTCAACTCCAAACTATAACTTTCAACCTGAAGAAACTGAAGTTTATCATTACAGCCCCTGAAGATGAATGAATTAGGACTTAGACAACCATCAGCTCAAAACTGATTTCAGGCAAAATGTAGTGAAGACACTTTGCTAGGCATTGCAAATAATAAGATAAAAAGTAGAACGGTCCTTCCCTTCGGGCAGCTATAATACAGAAATCCTTTTGTCACTTGGGACTGGCCAATAGGGACCTAGCCCTTTAAGCATGTACCATATGCTTTAGCTAGTATCACTCTGTGTGAAAATTTGATGATCCTGCTTCTAGAGGTGCTACCTTTCAATTCAGAGCATGCCCATAACTATTTGCTATTGGGTTACTTTGAGGAGACAAAAAGCTTTGGAACTGAGTGCATATACAAGGTTCTAGCAGGGAAAATTTCCCTCTTTTCCATCGAGGTAAGTAGGCAAGAACTATGGTAAGTCTCCAGATGGAGAGAGAATGAAGTAGCAGGTTCTGCTACTGGGTACCACAGCTCCAGGGCCTCCATGAAGCAGGGCCACCTCAGTTTCTTTTGTCCCTGTTGTGTATAGTCTATCCTTATCTTAAGTGAATGAATATTAAAAACAGAACAGACCAAACTTTGTGAGTTTCAAAATGTAAACTGCAGTTGGAGTCCATTGTAAGTCGGTAGCCACAGCATCCAAGGTGGGTGAGGAGTCAACCCTGGGGAAGGGACCTGCTTGTCCTTGCCCGGTAGTGAATTGATTCAGGAGCTGAGATGGTATGTCTCGTAAGCCAAGGAGCAAATCGTTTAACAACTCTGCCACAACCAGAAGTGAATGTCAGGACTTAGGGTAGGGATATGGGGAGGAGAAAATGGTTCATAGTGACCAATTTAAATTTGATCCTGCTCTCCTAGAGACCAAGTGGGCTTGTAGAAAAGTAAGCCCAAAGCCCATGTTACACTTTGGGTTTCAAGAATGCTATACACAGCTCAAGTTTTGTTGCTTTGGGTATTATGGGTGTTTAGCAGTCTACACAAACTGTGCTGATGTTATTAGTAATATTCCTAACCAGCAGTTGTTATTTCTACAAAAACGGCTTTTCCGAAAACAGCTTCTATACCTGGATTCTTGGTTTAAAAGTTTAAAACTAATTGGCAATAAATTTGTTAATTTGCAAAGAATGTGTCCTAGAGGAATTTAATGTTGTTTTCATGCTTTAACAAAGTTATACTTATATTTAACTGTCATCTTCCCTATTCTCCAGTCCTGCTTCTATTACTATAGCTAACATTGATACAGTCCCTACTATGTGCCAAGCACTTTACAAATATTCATTTGATCCTCACAACAATCCTGGGAGGTAGGTGCTATTATTATTCCTATTTTACAGATGAGGAAACTGAGGCAAGAAGAAGTTAAGTAACTTTTCCAGGGTCACACAGCTATTAAGTGCCTGAGGCCAGATTTGAACTCAGGTCTTCCTGACTGCAAGCCCAGCACTCTATCCACTGTGACACGTAGCTGCCACCACACCACCTAGCTGTTTGCAGGTAACTACAACCTATATGTTAACTCAATATTTTCCATATTTCAATGTACTGATGATTGCATCAATGCATCAAATACATCAATATTCATTTCTATAGTGCATATTGCCAGCTCCTCTATATATTCTCACCTGGCTCTGGTACACAATTTTTCATCAACAAAATA